CAGGCCTATAGGCAGAATGCGAAGGCCACAGGAAGAGAGGGGGACAAATAAAAATGGGGAAATATTCATCCCTTCATATTCATTGAGGTCTCTGGAACTGACAAATATGAAGGGACGTATATTTAACGAATCAGTATTTTTTTTTTAACGAATATCACAATCCATTTTTTAATTTGTCCCCATGTCTAATTTTGGTGTAAGATGAAGAAAATCCCAGAAGTGTTGTTTCCATCTCCCTAACAGTAAAAATATAATACTGTATGACTATAGTATTTGCTGCTTTTTCACAACACCTAACCAGTGTGGAAGGGACTGTCACTCTCGAATTGGCCTCGTCAGCCACACTAGGCTCTGTTCCAAGTCCTCCATACAGAGCACATTACCATAGTCTCTCGAGACTGAAGGATGCCTAAACTCTGTTGACTGTGGTGGACAACTTACTCTGTTTAGGGCTGGCTGTAGATGGGAGAGGAAGGCTGTGAAGACCTCTCTTTTCCATGGTATCATCTCTTTTCTCCATCTGTATAAGGACAGAACTCCCCAGTCACTCTTGTTAAAATAACTGACCAAAGATCTATGCGGTTAAACCCATCTGAAAGTTTGTCTTCACAACCCACCACATTCCTTTGAAGAGGAAAAGAAAGAAAAAGAATAACCTAAAACATGAGCCCAACTTTAAAAAGTCATTAAAGGCTCACCAGAGGTGTCATTCCCTCTTTCTCTCTCTGTCTCCATTTTGTTCCACCTGTCAGAATGCTTTATGGGGTTAATACCTGCAGCTTTGTCAACAGAAGTCCTGTTAATAGTAAGCACATTTAGATAGGCCTAATGCAGAACATGTGCTTTCCCTTGAGAGTGCTAATCTTGTTGGATGGACAAGACATTTCAGAAAACCCCAAATCTGACATCTGTGTAGGACATCGGCCTGTTTCAACAACCTGGATTGTAGGGAGAAGTTACATTTTCCGCATCATTGAAAAGGCAGATGCCATTTGTGTGCAGGAGGTGACACCCTCTCATTTCTGCCATTTTTCATACTGGATGGTGTTTCCATTTACACAACCAGCCATACTTCTAGCCCCCAATTTCAGCCAACGGGGAGCCCTGGAAATTATTTTTCAGTGTTAGAGATCAGCTCTGGGAAATACAAAACTGTCATTTTATTTCTTCATGTATTGCAAGATCAATAAATTCCATCTTTTTTCTCATAAAAATATCTTAGGAGGCTAAGAGGATCAATACAAACTGAAGGGGCCACTGGGGGGGGGGAAACAAGAAAAGTACTTCAGCAATAAAGAAGTTGTGACAGTGGAGCTGAGGTGAAAAAGATGAAGAAAAGTACTTCAGCAATAAAGAAGTTGAGACTGTGGAACTAAGGTCAAAAAGATGATAACCTTAGAACTGCAGAACTGGAAGGGCCCCCATGGATCATTGAGGCCCACCCCAGTCAACAAGGCACAATGGGGAATTGAACTCCCAATCTCATACCTAGAGATGGGCAGGAACCACCAGTTCAGCGGTTTGTGCCAGTTCGGCAGATGGCTGAACAGGTGTTCCATGGTTTGGTGCTGTGCCTCCTCTGATGGGCGACTGCTCAGGGGCAGCATCTGGAGGAGGCAGGGCGGTGAGACACAGAGCGCTGCTTCTGAGTGGGTGCTCATTGGAGGGAGGTAAAGGTAAAGGTTCCCCTTGACAATTTTTGTCCAGTCGTGTTCGACTCTAGGGGGCAGTGCTCATCCCCGTTTCCAAGCCATAGAGCCAGCGTTTTTTGCCCAAAGACAATCTTCCGTGGTCACATGGCCAGTGTGACTTAGACACGGAACGCTGTTACCTTCCCACCAAGGTGGTCCCTATTTATCTACTCGCATTTGCATGCTTTCGAACCGCTAGGTTGGCGGGAGCTGGGACAAGCGACGGGCACTCCCTCCGTCGCGTGGCTTCGATCTTACGACTGCTTGGTCTTCTGACCCTGCAGCACAGGCTTCTGCGGTTGAGCCCGCAGCGCCACCACGTTCCCCCCACGTCACTGGAGGGAATGGGGTGTCAAATCACATAAACCTGTTTGGCCATCCACCAAACTGGCAGTTTGTGACCATCTCTACTTGTACCGAAACCACTGGGGTTTCCTATTCAGCAATTAGATGAAGCTTGACACTAGGGCTCAAAAGCCTTCAGAGCTTGGAAAATTTACTTCTTAAAAAAATACATCATCTAGCATCTTCTACCTGCATGGATGCTTCTGGGAACTGCAGTTTTAAAAAAGAGTAAATGTTGCAAAAGGCCTCCTGCCAATAAAATGACTTCTGCATGGCTACCAGAGTGCCATTTTTACGAGGCCCATGGAAATGAAGATGGAGGAAGTTGCTGTAGTCCTTTGTAGTCCTGTTCTTTGCTGTTGTCCAAAAAAGGAACTTGTCCGTGCTCTGTTCAGAAATTAGTGCCGGACTAAGTATGTGACCCCTGTGCTTGCTCTTATGTTCTTGTTGTTGCTATTAAACTGCCTGATTCACGTTTCAATGTATTATATGCTATAGTGTTGATGCACCTGTAGGGTTCCAGGTTAACAAACCTTTCATTTCTGTGTAAGAAAGTAGCAGCTTCACTCCAACAAAAGCAGCAAACCAGTGTTATCACTAAACTTTGCACCCAGCCCCAACCCCTACTCCAGGACATTGGGGCATGCGTTGATGACTTCCAGGATAGACTACTGTAATACTCTCTACATGGGGCTTCCTTTGAGATAGACCCAGAGACTGCAGCAGGTCCAGAGAGCAGTTTCCAGTCTGGTGGCGGGTGCTGAATAAGTTTGATCACATCTCCCCAGTATTGCCTTGCCAGACTGGTGATGTTCAGGATCATGTTCAAGGTTTCAATGGTCACGTATAAAGCCCTGTACCATTTGGGACCACGTCATTTGTCTGAACACCTTTTCCCAAGGCCATCTACCAGCACCACCAGATTCTCCCAGGCAATGCTCCTCCAGGTGGCCACCCTAAAGCAGGCCAGAAAATCATCTAGCAGAAGTTGGGCCTTCTCAGCAGTGGCACCAACATTTTGGAACCGGCTCCTGGTTAAGTTGTGCCCTGGCTCCCTCCTTCTTGCCCAACTTTTAAGAGGTTACTCTTCAGAGAGGCCTTTCAATGCAACCTTGCTTGGCTTTTCTGTCTTGTGCTCGGACTCCTGTATGGAATTCTGTGTTGCACCTTCTTGGATGTTCGGCTGAGCTAATTTTTCTGCATGATTTGTTTTATTTTATGATTTTATTGCTGACCTCTTAAGGTGTATCTTATTTCACTTTGCTGTAAACCGCCCAGAATGGTGCTTTGCTTTACAGTGGGGTCTTGACTTAAGAATGGCTTGAGTTAAGAACATTTTGACTTAAGAACCACTCTCATAGGAAAATATTGACTTGACTTACATACTTAGATTTGAGTTAAGAACTGAAAAAGAACCATGTGGGAGGAAGAGAAAGTGCAAAATTTGAACTTTCAGTTAACGGTTGGCCAGTGAAACGGGTGCCTGTCTGCTTCCTCACTCCTCCCAGCGTTTAGAGAGTGGATTGGGAGACAGTCTTCGGACTGCCTGGTACTTGTACTGTCTGGACTGTATTTTCCCTGCCTTCCCTGAACCTTTCTTGACCTAAGAAAGAAAGAACCAAAATATCCCCCTCTAGTGGCCGAAGGCGGAATAGCAGCTTCCCATTAGTTTCTATGGACGGAAAAGAGCAGATACGGATTAAATGGTTCTCAATGCATTCCTATGGGAAATGCAGATTTGACTTGAGAACTTTTTGACTTGAGAACCGCCTTCCAATACGGATTAAGTTCTCAAGTCAAGACCCCACTGTAATAGGGCAGTGCGTTAAATAAATAAATACAGAAATACATAAATAAAATAAAATAAGCTAGAAAGCACTTACGTCTCCCAGAAAAATTAACTTTGCTCCCCTGCTGAATGTATCTTTTTTTCCTGCCATAAAGGATGCAGCAATCTAACCACAGAGTTCCTTGGTTATATTTACTGCCTCCGTAGCCAAGGATAATGTTTATTTGTAAGCTAACTGCCACTCTCAAGAGACAGAAATGCATCTAAATCACCCCAGCACCAGATTATAAAGCACTTTCACAGTATATATTTTCAGTTATTGGGCTTCTGGATTCCTGGGAACTTAATGTCCCTTCTCATGTTATAGAAGAAATTGTGGAAAGGCAGTTTTTCTCCTTCACTCAGTGAAACTATTAGTAGCATAATCTGGTTTTATAGCTAGAGATATTGCTTTGGGGGTGGTTCATAAGTCTTCATTTTAGCAGGCTTGAATTGCAAAGCTTCAGATGGCCCATTTGGTTTTCATCTTGGGCTAAATCCAATGCTAGTCACAACTAGGGCAGACCCACAGGGACTAATGGGACTTGTTAATCACAATTAGTTTTCAACGATGTAGATGTGTTAGTCTGTTTTAGCGTATATAGCAAAAATAAAAACCAAAGGGTAATGGCATCTTAAAGACTATGCTTTATGTCAGTGTAAGCTGTTGTAGTTTACAGTCTATTTCCTTGCAGACTTAAGTTTCTATTTTTATTTTCGCTGTTTAAATTTCATTGATTTGAAATATACAATGTGTATGAAAATATCTTACAGAGTTGACAATTCCTTCCTTCCTTCCTTCCTTCCTTCCTTCCTTCCTTCCTTCCTTCCTTCCTTCCTTCCTTCCTTCCTTCCTTGCTTCCTTCCTTCCTGTCTACCATATCAAGGCTATACACTCAGTTGTATAGCCTTGAAAATATGTAACTTTACATATTTTTATTATCTCCTTACTCTTCCTCCTATTAGTCCCAGCATGGCCAATGGTCAAGGATCATGGGACATATAGTCAAACCACATCTGGAAACCTCATGTTCCCTGTTTTTGGTCTATGCTATATGAGCTACTTATATTTTCATGCATCCAGCACTAGAAAGTGAATCATCTTGCTACAGAATCTTTTACCTTTTTCCCCACAGGGCTCAGCATGGGCCAAGGAGAGCTGTCCCACCGAGATGTACACTGTCAGTGGGGAATGCTGCAAAGCCTGTAACCTTGGGGAAGGGGTCATCCACCCCTGTGGGTTAAACCAAACCATCTGTGAGCCATGCCTGGACAGTAAGTAAGAGGGATGAGAAAATTGGTTTGTTATGCTTTTTCTGCATTTGGTTGGCCAGAATCCTTATACGGAATACTGTGTACAAAACTGCACAAGAAATTCCTCAATTTCCTAGCTGTTTTACGTATATGTCTGAGCTTATAATGTAGTGTGCAACTGAGTGTATAGCCTTGGTATGGTAACAGACAGGTAGAAAATGCATACGAGATGCCTAATTCTGCACTTACTCTGCACAAACCCACATCATTCTGCCCATTGTTTTTAACCTAAAGTGCTTTTCTGTCCTAAATATATCCTCAAATGAAATTCTCTCCAACCTGCATTGGCTGCATTCCTGAGACCAGCTATATAAGACAATCTATATAGATTACAAATCTTCTTTTCCAAATCTTTTAGAGGAGTGGGAACTAGTTTAACTCAGATGCCTGGTGGGGCTTTAGCAAATGGCCAAGAAAGATCTACCCAGGGTGAGTCTGGTGTGATAAGCTCACAGAGTGGACCTCAGATTTTCTAGAGCAGAAAAAAGAAAGAAAGAGGAAGCAGCTTCAGCCCAAGATGTCTGCTGGCTGAGGCAAAATATGAGATGGCACTTCACTGAATTCAATGTACAGAATCTAGGTGGACTAGCCATTGAATCTTCCTTCAATACTAGCAATAGGGGTGGACTAATGACACCAGTGTGATGAGATAGTGAGTGTGTTCCACGTTTATGGCAGAGTGTTGCAGGAGCTATCCAAGGTGTTGAGCCCTTTTTTGGGAGAAGAGTTCCCTGTCTCTGGAAAGTTCAGAGCAAAGACCACATCACACCCCCATCATAAAATCAGACTCACTGGCCTGTACTGCAGTGGGAGAAGGTTCTCTGCTACATCTGAGATCAACAGGCTGCTTTAGGAGTTGCAGGGCAGATGGTATGAACCAGGAAGGAATGGGGAAGGGATTCAGGAGGAACAGCTGGGTGGGGGGGGTCACTCAGTGCTGTCCTCCAGCTTCTTTCAGTGGTTGCTTCCCTCTGCCTTATGATAGGACCAACCCCGGTCAGATGTTGCTGAGGCTGTACTTCTTGGAGAGAGTACACTACATTTAGCTATTGTTCAATCAGTCTATCTATACTAAAAACCCTGTAGTGACTTGTCATATGGTCTTCTAAAGGTTTTCTTTTGGAGGGGGGGATGTAAGCTATTTCCTGATGATTTGCTTTTCCCTCAACTCTCTACTCATAATGACTCTGAAAAATACGTTCCCATTAGGGGCATAATGAACGACACTCTTCTCTACAGACTATTTCTGATCAGATCCTTGTTCTAATACAGGGCTAGGCAAAAAGCAGACCATGACATCAGTCCATTGTGCTAGTGCTCTTTATCTGTCCAATCAATGCATTTTCAGCTGAAAATGTGTTAGCACAAGATAAATCAGTGGGCTATCTCAGATATCTCAGAAGTTCATGATAACTGAGCTACCCCATCACCTTCTGAGAAAATTCTTTTAATAAACATGCTTTGAAATTTGGGCGGGGGTTGGGGGTTGAATGTAAATCCTCACCTGTGTCATTCCTGAATGTGAGAAACTGCAAAAAAAAAAATGTTGATCTCAACAACATTTTCCATGTTTGTGGCAATCCTTTTTGCACTTCTGGCTTATATTGTACAAATTACATGTAATGTCCGAATTGCATAGTTAAACTATGGAAGTTGCTGCTGTGTTGCATGGAATGTGAAGCACCGGATGGTTTGTTTATGAATTTTTGATCAGCCAACCAGTCCTCCTATATCTATGTCTGTTGGGTTTCACACTTGGAACACGTAAGTTATGCACAGAGCCATTCAGGCAAATTACAGAAAACAGGGGTGCCACTGCTGCCTCCCAATTACACAGCTGAGTAGTATAGCAACTAATATAGTAACTTTTTTCCAGTGGCCTGCTTTTTGATACAAGTGGAATGAAATTGCTTATCCCACACGGGTCCCCCCCGCCCCCCGGATTCGAGAGTCGCAGCTAAGCACGCAAGCTGAGCAACTGAATGTATGTGATCTGCTGTGCCTGTTCACAATGCCAGATGAGAATTTCCTCGGCAGTGAATATGAATGAATCTTGCTATGCCATAAAAAACTGCAGCTGCTGCTGGATTGCAATGATGCTGGGGGTGCTCACACAAGACAGGCCGAGGTTCCCAAACCTTCAAAGACATACTTCCTTGGCAGTGAGAGGGCTTGGTGGGGGAGACCTCGATTCTCTTCCTTGCAGCACTGGTTAAAAATAACTGAAAACACGCTTCCCATGCAAAATCAATGGCTGCTACTTAAGCTCTGCAGAGAATGGCAGCAGAGATGCTGGGTGTCGAATACCAGGCTCATAATCTGACCTTGGAAGAGTTGCTGTATTGGCATTTGGGAGGGCAGGAGCTAAAAAGAAAAAAGGAGGGAGAAACTACTGCTACTGCGCATTTATTTATTTATTCATTCATTCTTTCGTTTGTTTATTTATTTAATGGAAATCCCGCAAATGCTCAGCATGTTCCAAACTCATGTCAAAAACTTGGGACTCTGTGAGGAGTCTTGCTTTAGAGGTGAGTGATTCACCTCCATTCTGCAGGCAACATGCTCCACAGTCCATTTTTTCTTTCTTTCATTATTTCTCTGGTGCTGGCAGGAACCTATGGAAAAAAAAAACCACACACACCCCAAGATGGCAGCAGTTGCTGGGGGATTCAAGCTGAAAGCTGACTCCGGATAGCAGGGAAATCAATAAAGAGAAATAAGCAGAGAGGCAAATTTCAGATGAGTCAGTTCTCCAAACATGAAACCAGGACAATCAGTTGCAACTGAAACATAATAAAGAGTGTCTAAATGTATCCCCAATATCTTACCCTTTGCCCTGTCCTAATTCTGCTTTGGATTTCTTAACACAGAAATTCATGTCTCATAAAACAGGGACCAATTTCCCTGTGGTTTCCATTAGGTTTGCTTAAACTTTGACAATACAGGTACAACATTTGTACTTGTTTTGGTGTGCTGTCATGTCATATTATGAATTACTGGTGTCCTGTCATTAACAGCCTTGCTCAGCTCTTGTGAACTCAAGTAAATCCATCAGTTAATCTTCCTCTTTTCCTGTTGCCTTCAGCTTTTCCCAGTATTATTGTCTTTACCGGTGAGTCTTCTTTTCTCATAATGTGCATCAAGTGCAACAGCTTCAGTTTTGTCATTTTTGTTTCTGGGCAGAGTTCAGCCTTGATTTGATCTAATACCCACTTATCTGTCTTTCTGGCAATTCTTGGCTTCTCTAAAGCTCTCCTCCAGCATCATGTTTCAAATGAATTGAATTTTATTTGAATTTGACATACCATCCACTAATCCAGACCTTTTTCATTTAAAGGAATGAATGAATTAATAAAATATGCCTAATTGAGATAGTCTATAATTGAGATAATCTAAAGCACATCATATGCATCAATCTGCCTTGATCTGGTGCCCTCTGTACCAGAATCTCTTCTTGACACAAACCAGCATGGCTAATACTCAGTGATTTTGGGACTTGTTATCTAAAATGTCTGGAGCTCACCAGACTGGGGAAAGCTGACACAAAGGACCCTCTGCTATGAATGAGGGCATCAATGGCAACCCCTCTCCACCCACACTTACCTTGAAAATCCCAGGTCCTTCCCTCTATTGGAGGAGACCTGTGTAGGCCCCGTGCCATGGCATGCTATGTACTTCCAAAATTACCCTGTTGGCTTCAGGTGAGTGGAGGACACTGTCCAGTCATAGTAAGATTCTGCAGACTGTCCAATTAACTTCTGCACATGCTGTGGCAGCAGGGGAGGGGAGGAGTGATATTGTCCTTTGTCTTGGGCAGCAAAATATTATCGGAGGTGGTCCTGCTTCTGGAGCAGCAAAGAGCACACCTTTTCCCTTTATTGTGTGGCATCTCTTCAGACATACTGATATCATGTCCCCCCCATCCTAACTCTTTCCAGACTGAACTTATCTACTTCTTTAAATGCTCAGAATCTGTTGGTGATTTATTTGTGTGTTAAGTTAAATGGCATAACCGTGATGGTGAATTACCTCTAACTATCAAGGTGCCAGTCCTCTTAAATGCTAGGAGGAAGGGTTAGGTTTCCCAATTGCACAGCTACTAATATGACGAGAACCTTGTTAGTTAGTGACAATTTACCACAGTGAGTTGTGGAATTTAACTTAAGCCCATAGAAATCATCAGCAGGATTCTGGCCATAAAGTGGTGGAGATATTACTATTTTTGGACTGTAACTCCTAGATTGCCTCTGCCAGCACACCACTGGCATTTTTTCACACTCTGATGTTACATCAGGCCTGTTCCTCCACTCTTCAGTTTCCCATGCACTGATTCACAAGAACTCTAGCACAAATGTTTCCTTCCTGTTCTGATCTGGCAAGGGAAATCCACAAGGAAGAACCAGTTTATTTAGGAGGACTGCTCAATTAAGTTAGCCTCCTGCAGTGGGGGTGGGTGGGAGGTGAAGGTGAATCTGTAGAAGCAATAAGCCATGCATACCTAACCCCATGTCTAATTTCATGCAGATTACCGCATACACCTGGCTTGTGTTTGGGATGGTAGCAGGATGGGAGGGGGGATGCATTCCCTCCAACTTACCACAACCTCAAGTTCCAGGATATTTGTAGATGGAGATACAGTATTTCCTGTCTCATCTGGGATCTCTATTTGGAAGACTGGGCAGGCAGAAGGCTTTCTATAGGCAGATTTATGATTTGTCTGCCTGGTGGAAACTACTGCACGGTGGGATGTGCTTTTGACTTTGCTAAGCTGCCTGTGTGTGGTTGTGGGCATAAACACATGTGCTCCTGTTTTATGTTACTGAGCGCAAGTGTGACCTTGGGGACGTCCCTCCTTGTGCATCTGCATAACTGGGCTCCTTAGCAATTCCCAGTGCTGAGTTGCCAAATTGGAGTCTTTGGGTTAAGTTCTCATTGATGCAGAGAGAATACACCAAGAGACA